CTGGAGACGGTCCCCAGCAGACCAGGGGCACCGGGAGCAGCTTTTCTCACCCCGGATGTCGAGGTGGCGGGACCGCTGCCTGCGAGCTCCGGGGCGAGAAAGCCCCGTTCGTAAGTGCGGATCCGACATAAGTCGGATCCGCGTTAGTCGGGGACTGCCTGTAGAGAGACATAGCACAGAGGCATTCAGTGGCTTCATCTGTGGCTCTTTCTTTTATCTTTGTGGCACTCAAACCCAGGATTCCCAGCTCCCACTCTTGTTTACTAGTCCCTAGACATGACTCTACAAGCACTGGTAGCCATCAAAAGGGGATTTGACTTTTTGAATGATTTTTCTGGCAACCAAAATTAAATGCATTTTCAAAGAGCTATGCAGAAGGCAACAAAAAACTTCAATGGAAATTCTATGAATTTACTGTGGGATGTGTATACATTCTAAACCATTGCCTATTAGGGTTGTCAATGTGTAGTTGACTATACGATTAACCAATAAGCCTAGGCTTATCAGTTAATCTTGTCAACTGCTCACTCCCTCCCCCCTGCCCCGCTGCCTCTGTATGAGGAGCTGGCTTAAAAGCTGGCTTCCCACGAGCACCGGATCTGCCACCCCCACCCCCCTGCTGCTGCCTCTTTCAAGCCAGCTCACAGTGTGTTTTGGCTCCATGGACCCGCCTTTCTTCTTAAAAGCCGGCTCGCCCCATCACCAGCTTCATGGTGCCATCTGCCCTGCACCCCAGCAGCAGCAGCTGGGGTGAGGCGCAGGAGAGGCTGCCATGAAGCAGCCTCTGTCCGCTGTCCGTGGCAGGTCTGAGCTCCCTGTGGACAGAGGCTGCTCTGCATCCCATGGAGCAGGTTCTGTCCGTGGCAAGTCTGGGCCTGCCGCAAACAGAGGCTGCTTCACAGGATGCGGAGACGCCTCTGTCCGCCAGTGGGTCCAAGGTCCCCATGGACAGGGGCTGCTGTCTATCTATCAGGTGCAGCAGTGCAGGGTGGCAGGAAGCTGTTCTGCAAGGGGAGCTGGTTTTTAAACTGGCTCCCCTTTCAGACTATCTCCCGCCTGGCAGTCCTGATACAGAGGCAACAGCGTCGGGTGACAGAAGGCTCCCTGGAAGTGGGACCGGGAGTGTACTGGCTGCCGGCCCTATTGAATAGTCAGATAATTGCTAAAATTTCATGCAGTTACATGACTATTCAATTACACAATATCTAACTTCCCTATTACTTATTGAAATACAGCCCTGAGGTTATAATATAGTTTCCTTCTTTTCTAATCTTAATGTGAATGGCTCATGAATGCACAAAATATCCCATTAATGAAAACAGTCAATCTTAGAAAATTATGTGTTTGATCAATTTTATATCCATTTTATATATAGTTATTTTTAAAAATGTATTATTTCTCGGGCTGTTTAGCAATTAAAAATGAATCTTAATTAATAAAGGTAATCATATGATTAATTGCATAATTAGTTGCAATGTTAATCGTCTAAGATTTATTTAAATATTTTGGATGTTTTCCACATTTTTAAATATATTAATTTCAATTCTAACACAATGCAAAGTGTATGATGCTCACTTTATATTTACTTTTGATTAAAAATATTTGCATATTTTTATTTTGTAAAAAAGAAACTAAATAAATAGTATTTTAATTCACTTAATACAAGTACAGGAATGCAAGCTCTATATCCTGAAACTTGAACCTACAAAAATTATGTACAAAATCCTGCACTCCAAACAATGTAAAACTTTAGAACCAACAAGTCCACTCAGTCCTATTTCTTGTTCAGCCAATCAAATTTGTTCACAATTGCAGGAGACAAGGCAGCCTGCTTCTTATTTACAATGTCACCTGAGAGTCAGAACAGTCATCTGCATGGCACTGTTGTAGCTGGCACCTCAAGGTATGTACTTGCCAGATGTGCTAAAGATTTATATATCCCTTTATGATTTGACAACCATTCCAGAGGACATGTCCATGCTGATGAAGGTGGGTTCTATTTGTTAACAAGCCAAAGCAGTGTGGACCAATGAATGTTCATTTTAATCATGAAATTAAGATGCCATCAGCAGAAGTTTAATTTTCTTTATTGGTAATTCTGATTCTGTAATTTTTGATTCGAAGGGTTACTCTTTTAAGACTTCTGAAAGAACGCTTCACACCTTGTCCCAAGTCTGCAACAAAAGTGTTCTTAAAATGAACAACGTGCTGGTTCATCACAAAGTCTTGTATAATATGAAATATATAGCAGAATGCAGGTAAAACAGAACAGGAGACATACAATTCTATCCCCAGGAGTTGTCACAAATTTAATTAATGGATTGTTTTAACAGGCATTATATTTGAAAATATAGAACATATCCAAACATATTTAATACACTTCAATTGTTATTAAAACTCTAATTAATCATTATTAATTGTTCAAATCTCAATTAATATTGTTAGTTAATTGCAGTTAACTCCCACAATTAACTGACATCCCTAATTATTTTGCCACTGTTACTGGGTCTCCCACTATTTAGTTTACATTTTTCCATCTGTCTGTGCACCCATGGCTCGGCCTCCCATTCATGAAGGCCTATCTTTCCAACAGAATAAAGGTGCCATTAGCTGTGAAATTCCTTAGAGAAGAGACGGCAAAGGTCAGTCCCAAAATAACCTGCTCCCATTTAGCTGAGAGTACTACACACAGGAACAATGACTATGGAAAGCTGATGTCAGGGAAGGTTTGCAGAGTTCAGCAAAAACTGGCAGGAAGCCACATGTAAAACAGAAACACAAAGAGAGTGAAGCACCAAGAACACACCGAGGAGGCGATGGGAGAGCAGAGGGCAAGCTTCAAAGCCAGGAAAAACCACTTCTAGGCTCAGCCCAGCAGGGTAGGTTCAGGCACTGCTGTCAAACGTGTGGCTGCTGGGGCCCACTGGCTCATAGGGTCCCACGCCTGCCAAGAAAAGGCTGAAAAGCTAGTGCGATGGGCACATTTCTTGCTCTACTGCTCTGTGGTGTGGAGTACAAACTCCTTTATGTTGGCTGACAGCTCACAGTGGGGGTGGGGAGAATACTAACACAACATCCGTAGAGAATCAGAGCCTTTTTTCTGTGCTCCCTCCTACTGTAGGAACCCCATATCCACTGTCACTCAAAGTCTCTTTTATATACACATGCCCCACTCCTGGGTACATGACCTATGCCTCCCCAAGGGACTGAACCCCTGCCCATACAAATACACAATGGGAAATGGAAGCCTGGGAAGTTCTCTCTCTATGGAAGTTCTCTTGGAAAAGGAATCGCTCTAGCAGATATGTTGGTTTCATAACAGGAAAGTAAAAGCTCCCCTTACTTTGTGGATGTAAACAGCTTCCTCTGCTTGGGACTGGACAAAGCTCATCTTCCTATCGCCCCTCTTCTCTGTGCCACAGCCATTTTCACAGGGGCAACAATCCACCTGCAAGCACAGCACTACCAGCCACCCTGAGGTTTCTGACAGGCCTGAGCGCATGAATAGCCTGTGCCCAGGGTGAAAAGCCTAAGTGATAGCTGCTGACAGAGCATAGGGTTGGGGGAAGAAGGAAAGGTTTGCAAACTGGATCATTGGCCCAATGCAGTGGTTTCAGACGAAGCCTGAGACTTGCTTGACCCAGCCTTGCACATTGGGTTAATACAAAAACCCCGTGCATATT